AATGATTTTTAATGATTTTTAATGATTTTTAATGATTTTTAATGATTTTTAATGATTTTTAATGATTTTTAATGATTTTTAATGATTTTTAATGATTTTTAATGATTTTTAATGATTTTTAATGATTTTTAATGATTTTTAATGATTTTTAATGATTTTTAATGATTTTTAATGATTTTTATTGATTTTTAATGATTTTTAATGATGTTTAATGATGTTTAATGATTTTTAATGATTTTTAATGATTTTTAATTATTTTTAATGATTTTTAATGATTTTTAATGATTTTTAATGTTTTTTAATGATTTTTAATGAATATTTTCATTTATTGAATTACGATTCATGAGAATTAATTGGCCAATGGCGTTGAACGAATCTTATGGTTAAATTCAATTAAAAACTCAACGATGAGGTATTGTACATATTGTAATTTGATTGAACTAGTTTGAATATGTATGTAAACTAAAGTGATTAAATTCAAAAATTGGATTAAATACCTTTTAGGTACTACTTGTTTTGTGGTTATTACTGGGTATTAGAGGTATTTTAATGAGCATTGTGGATATTGTGCTGGGTATTTTGGGTATTGGTAGGTATTAGTGTGTATTTATAAAGGTAATGGATGTATTGTTTTAAAAAAATTGGCATTAAAACTATAAGTGTACAAAATTTGGACCTACGGTTTAGTCCTTGCTTCATATCGAGAAATTATTGAAAACGAATTAATATGTAAAATTAAAAAAATATATCAAAACTTACCTACAGTTGTCTGCAAAAACTTGAATTAGTTTAAAACTTACCTGCAACAAAATTATATTATTTAAAATAGAATTAATAAAGAACATGTTTTTAAAATTAAGCCACGACGAGTTTTTTAAATGAGTTATGTTTTTACTAGTGGACGCTAATATACAATGGTAATGTTAAAAATACAAAAATACTTTCACATAGAATGAGTACTTATCTCAAAAAAAAAAAAAAATGCTTCTAACAGAATGTAAAAAAAATTAGTATATCAGGTATGTCTAAAGCCGGGTCCACATAAATAATTTTAACACAAATTTGTTCGTGTCCGTTAAAATTTACGTAAATGTGTACTAGGCATCGCATAAAGATGCGCAAAAGTATTTGCTGCAGATACAACGCACACTATCCACCAACATGCCGGTTTTTGTAATGATATCAAAGAGATTTGTGTGGAAAGAGTGTGTGAATGTGGACTTACAATGTTAAAATATATTCTAAAGAAAAAGTGCAAATATTAGCTGTATTTAAGTCACTCCTTAATAATAAGAATGAAAATATTTAAAAAAGACGTTTATTGGATAACACTAAAGAGAACATCTACTAAAAATCCTAATAATTATACAAAATTGCCTATAGGATATCACACGTTGATTATGAACAAACTCAATAATTTGGCCGCAAAGAAAATGTATTATCAACATACACAAGACAACTCAAAATTTTTCGTCGAAAAGTTTGGTAAACAAATCAAAATTTTCACCAAAATTATTTTTGTTCCATTCAAACTTCAACGCACAAAACACAAGTATATTGAAGTAGATCCGCCAATAGATGCGTATAATTATTTATATCTAAAATATTGTAAGAATGAAGATAAGATAGTTTATTTAGAAATCATTAAGTTTAGTAGAAATTCACTACTTAACTAACAATAATGTTCCCCTATCCCTCGTCAGTCATCATACTATTTTAGGACTAAATTTTGACCCAAGAATATCTTGGAACAAACATATACAAGATGTCAAATGCAGCTGTATAAGAAAACTCAACATTCTAAAATCTCTATCTGATTTACAATGAGGTTCTGAAGAGGATATGTTAATTACAGTCTACAGATCTAGGATATGGTCCAAATAAGCATCATTCACATGACCGCATCCAAGACTAGTATGAAAAGCCTTAATACTGTTTGTATTACTGCAATTAGGCTATGCATTGGCGCTTTTAAATCAAGTCCCATTTTGAGTTTGTACTGTAAAGCCAATGAAACACATTCTCCTCTCATATGCAGCTAGTGTATCTGCGAATTCTTGAAACCCAACCTATTCGATACTCATTCAAACAAATTACATGGTACTTAACACACAATCGACTAGAAGAGCCCAACCACAACCTAATATTCTCAAAGCCCTAGTTGGTAATTTTAATATTTCCAGAACTACTCCTTTATCTGTTCCTGCAATTCTACCATGGAGTAAAAAATTACCACACATAAATACTTTATTAAGTATCTTTAATAAGACTGAGACACCACGTGAAATAATTCAACAAACACTCCTAAATATCATCCATAGAAACAATTTCAACACAATTATTTTATTCCTCTTAAAAAGAATCAAATGTTGGTAGTTGTGGTGTTACATCCACTAACATCAATAGGCTCGTTAAACTTTCTTCATGTAGCGTAACACACTGGAGAACTATATGGCATATTTGAAGCATTCCAGATGTTACCATCTAATAATCATCCTACTGCAAACTTTACAGACTCACTTTCATCAATCCACTCAATTAAAGATGCTTTGTAGGGACACCCCTTAGTTAACGCGATTCATGACTCCTATACCAACCTTATAATGAAGTGTCCGTCACTATCATTAGGATCCCGTCTCACGTTGGACTTAATGGTAATGAAGCAGCTGATCGTGCAGCCAAAGAAGCTTCCACATTGGACGTACCTGCTGAAGATATCTAAATACATAAACATGTCAAGAGTGTGTTCAGGAAAACAGTTCATGATAATTGGCAAACACACTGGACTATAAAGACCACACAGTTACGAGACACACAACCCATTATTGCTTCCTCAAGACTATCCTTTATGCCCAAAACAAATGCAGTCATAATAAGATTACGAATTGGACACACTAAACTTACACATAGTCACCAAATGACAACCAGTGAGGCATCGGTATGCACCTACTGGGACAGCGTCTTAAATGTAAAACATATTTTGATAGATGATGACCACTTTTCCGAACAAAGGAGACGACACAAGCTGTAATCAAGACTACAAGAAATATTGGGAGAACCTACTGAATACCAGTGCCTGTTCAATTTCTTAAACGATGTTCAACTTTTTAAAAAAATTTAAATCAAAATACCTTTATGAAAACACTGTTGTAAAATGACTCTGTATATAATGGTAGTTGTGTCAATAACCTTAGCATTCGAGACACGTTAATTTTATAAAAAGAAATAGTTATATGAGAATAGCGAGTGCATTAGAAAATATTGCAAGCACAAGATGGCGTAAATGACCTAGTGGACATAAAGCAGTATCCTTCGAAGACTTAATGTATTTAATAATTTTCGAAAAGATTGTTTTACTTTCTGTGGATGAAATGGCCACTAAATTTAAGACCTGTAGTGGAGTTTTTAAGCTGACAGTACATAACATTTTTAAAGAAGATATAGATATAGGAGAAGTCTCACATCCGAAAAAGCCCCTAGGAAAAAAACAAGACCTTCATTGAAACTCCGGTAAAGAATTTAATAAGGCAAGTGGTACTACATTCTTTTATCTTTCGAAATTAAATACCTATACTTAAAAAATTACACTCAGAAATAGAAAACAGCCTCACTCTTCCAAATATATCGGATGTTCATATGAAAAAAATGTTACATGAATTAAATATACGTTACAAAAAACGTGACAAAAACAGCTTTTAAACAGAGAACGACGAAATCATTGCGTGGAGGCATGATTATTTAAGGAAAATAGCGGACGAAAGGAATCTGCATAAATAGGTATTTTATTTAGATGAAACATGGGTTAATGCTGGTAACAAAAATGTGCCAAGATACCTCCACCAAAACGAGCCCTTATAGAAGGGGTCTCTTGTGGAATAAAAATCCGACAGGAAAATGAAATCGTTTAATAATAACCCACATTGAAAGCACCGATTGATTTTGGCCAGATAGTTTTTTAATGTTCAAGTCAAAAAAAACAAAAAACTACCATGAAGAAATGGATGGTCCTATAATTGAAGATTGGTTTCAGGACATTTTGAAAAAATGTCTAGGCAACTCCGTTATTGTTTTGGATAATGCATCCTATCACAGTGGATTAAAGGAGTCACTACATACAACAAGATAGAAAAAAGAAGATATTTTAAAATGGCTTTATTCTAAAAATATCATCATTTCTCCTATATCTTTAAAGACAAAATTACTCGTAATAGCAAGCCAACATAAAAAAAATCAAAAAATATATTAAAAGCGAGATGGCCTTAGAAAAAGAAATAGATATTCACAGATTGCCTCCTTATATAATAATAATATTAATAATAATAATAATAATAATAAACCTCAGAAAAGACAATGATAATAATACCCGTAGTTATGGTAAAGACAGTGACTTTTGAATATAGTTCTTGAACTTTTAATTTTTTTTTAATATTCGATTTTAGGTAGTTTTAATGCCAAGAGATTAAAAAAAGTTAAATCCCATTGACAACATATAATCCTCCTCATTATATATTGGTCGTTCAATGTAAAAGTGCAATAATTGTGTCAAAATGATAGGTTTATTTTAAATTTTTAAAAATAATTTAACTTTTTACATTTAAAATTTAATCTACGAATTGCATATATACCATTTTATATGCCGTAACCTTATTTATATTATAAAAACTTATTTTCCAAACTACGCCTATGGAATACGACGTTATATTCCCGATTTTCATACACTCCTTTTTATTATAGTAGAAGACTACCATTAAAAGAGTTGACAACCACATCAAATTGCTGGACAACTCGTAAACTGATCCTGAGAAAATAGTAGTACAATCAAAATAGTTCTGATGCGAGAATCTTGCGAAAAATTTAAATCGCAAAAATGATTGTTCCCTGTAGTAGTGTCGTTCGAGTAAATAAGAACTCGTATTGTGCAAATATTTAGTCATGTTTGAAATGTATTCTCTACCTAGTATTAATACGAACATAAAGTGTTTACAAAACAAATAATATACCTTGGAAAGCGAGCTTCATCTCCTAGTCCATATAGACCAGCAACCGCGGCCATTGATGCTCAGACGAAGATGATTCTTACTTCCCGCCATTAAGATTCCGAAGTGTATACCTTCACTGAATAAATCCATTCCACGTTTACCAAGTCGGAGAAGACGTTGTCATCATCCATCCTGAATTTACACTCCGGCGACACTTTCATTTTGGACGTCACTAGTTGAAAGCCCGAGTAATTATTATAGGAATAACAAATAGTCCGAAGCCAAGAAGCACTTTGTAGAATTCGCGAAATTTTAAATTCAATTTTTAGATATTGATCACGTATTTTAAGTGTGTAGCTGTGTTAATTTAAATAAGTTTCACCTGTTTTTGTGTTTCGGGTAAGTTGTGTGAGTTCTTATTTTAGTGCCTAATCGCAGAGGCATACTTTTTGTTGCTATAAAATAAATAGATTAAAATGGATAGCAAGGGAGCTAGTGGCAGAAAAGGCATACGACGAGCAACTACTAGACTAATTCATTTATTCATAATTAAGCACTTGTTCATTAGAATGAGTAAGACGCCTATTAAATTGAGTGGTAATAGTTTGTACAAGTATTCGTTTTTTAATTAAACCGTCTAGTATAATTACGATGCTTGCATTACACCGTTGCCACGCTGTAAAATAAATGGTATATTTTTAAATCACCTTTAAGTACAATCACAGCTGTGACTAGAAAGAAACATTAAACTGATAGCAACTGGCAATAATAATGCAAATGTACTTCTCTAATAGTTATTTATTTACCAAGGGAACAAATAGATGTTTATGCCCTGAGGGCGACATCTTACAAACCCGATGGTTTCTGGCCCAAGGATTTGTAAGTCGCCCGAGACTATACACATCTGTTTATTTATCCCTTTGTAGTACTCAAAAGTACCACAATTTTAAATATCAATAAAATCGCAATGTAGTCGTTTAAAAGTACCATCGACTGTCGGTATGTCTAAGTACCAATAACTTTTCGCTGTGAAAATAGAATATTTCTAGATGTCGCTAAGACATCGTGTAGGATATAGCCTTAAAATCATGAAAATATAAAAATATATAGGGTGTTTGATTTAGAATAAACACGTTTGGGGTTATACCGAAAATACCTCGTAACAGATATCACTATTTATTTACGAGATAAAGCCTGGACGAGTTACTCTGGAATGTATATCACAAAATAAAAAATTAAAATTAAGCTGCAGAGAACTATGCGTCTGGCAAGCCTGACACGAGCAGATAATTAAGGGTACGTGTTATTGAATAATAATGTATTAATAATAACAAAAGTAATTTTTTGCGATTTTAATAACAAAAACACTAGTTTTAACTTTTGCTATACATTTGCTCGTGTAGCAAAAGTATTAAAATTTTCTGCCACCAAGTTCCCTAATGAAGAATTTTTTTTTATAAAAATTTAATAATTTTGTGTTCCGGCAAATATTGCTTCTGTAATCCCCGACTATAGCTAAAACTAGTCCATTTTAAATGAGCGATATACAACTCCACGGGACCTGCCAAGTAGATGGTTGCACAAAGCGATTCGCGTGTGACGTCAATTTGGTAAAATTTAGGAAAACTCCGGAATGGCAATATTACGATTCGGCTTTTCGTTTCAATAAATCACCAGAGCCGAATGAGAACATAACAAAACTTTTAATAGTTCTGCATTAAGTTGCTTTAATTCTCCGCCCCGAATACTAAAATCTGGGTCTAGGCATTGTTTTTATTTTGAATTTAATGCACGTTTCTATTTTACGTTTTAAATATAAATGTTTTTCATGAAAAATAATACCGCCTCAAACAATCAAACTGTCTTTATTTAGGAATGTTAATAAAATATTGGCAATGATTACAATAATTTATTGTAATTAAATAATTATTACAATCATTTAATGTAATAGAACAAATATTACAATCATTTATTGTAATCAAATACTTCAATTTATTCCAATAAAACAATCATTATAATCATTTAGTGTAACGAAATATCATTATTACAATGATTTATTGTAATATATGTTAAGGTTTATTAGAAATGATAAAAAATATAAAATAGTAGAAAAAATGTAAATGAAAATTCTTTGGAAATTAAAAAAAAAATGTTTCAAAATTATCCCTAACCGAAAGAATTAAAACTATTTTTAAGGTGAATACCCTTATAATTTTCGGACAAGTTTATTTCTAAAAGTAATTATTAATTATATTAAAAAACTAAAATTTTGGCAAAATAAATTAGGCAATAATATCTAGTATATGCATATATTTTCCTTTCAGTTTCCAAAAAAAAAAATCAAGAGCTTTAAATTTTGAAATATTAAAATAAAAATAAATGCATTCTTCAACAGCGCTATTTTTAGTACAATCCCGAAATTTTCGCTCTTAGTGTCTTGTTAATGATTTTTTAAAATTCGTCAAAATTATTGGTTAAAACACCTCGTTAAACGCTGCCTGCTGTTGTAACGCGACTCTATACTCTATCGCAGTGGTCGCCAACCTGTCGATCGCGAGCTACCGGTAGCTCGCGAAGGCAATTCTGGTAGCTCTCACAATGATTTTAATTTAAAAAATACAAACTGCAAAAATCAGAGAAGCTTCCGAAAATTCCACAAAAAAATCTAATTGTCATAATATTAAACATAAACAGCGGCAACGTTGCGGTGAGCGATCTGCCGCTGACGCCATCAAGCTAGAATCGACTAGAACCGACCAGCCGGACCAGCGCGTTAGTGTTCGAGAACGATCAGGATTGCTTTGAACGGGATAAATACGCACGGCGCGGCGACATTGCGCTTAGTTTAAAACTGAACACATAACCAACGTCCAGCGGTTGGGTTAGTAGAGAACAACACAAAATAATATTATGGCAAGCAGTTGTAAGAAGGTAAAGACATACCACTTTCATTCCGAATGGGAAGAACAATACTTTTTTACAGAAGTTAAAAATAAAAATGTGTGTTTGTTATGTAATACTTCGGTCTCCATTACTAAAAAAGGAAATATTGAGAGACATCATAAAACTGTACATTCTAATTTTGAAAAATCATTCCCACTACATTCTGCCGCCAGAAAGGAAAAACTGAAACAGTTAAAAAAGCAGTTAATTGGACAACAATCAATATTTTAAGAACAGTCGACAAAAATAAGGCTGCAACTGAAGCATCGTACCGTGTGTCCCAGATAATTGCACAAAAAAAGAAACCTTATGAAGACGGGGAAATGATTAAACAGGCGTTTTTAGAAGATGCTGATTCGTTATTTGCCAACTTTAGAAATGAAGACGAGATAGTTTCAGCTATAAAATCTATGCAACTTTCTGCTAATACAGTGATGAGACGTGTAGAAGTAATGAGCAATGATATTTTTTTACAGTTAGGAACTGACTTAGATAACTGTGTTTATTTTTTACTTCAAATGGATGAATCAACAGATGTCGTTGACACTGCCCAGATGGTTTTTAGTGATTTTACGATTAAAGAAGATCTTTTGAAGTTTATTCCATTGAAAGGACACACTACTGGACAGGAGTTGTTTTCTCATTTAAAAAATATTATTTGCTCCGAGAAAATTCCAATATCGAAAATGGTAGGCTTGACAACCGATGGCGCTCCAGCTATGGTGGGTTGTGATAAGGGTCTGGTGGCGTGATGTCGTAAAGATGAAACTTTTCCGCAATTTCTCTGTTACCACTGCTTTATCCATCAGCAAGCATTATGTGGAAATTTCCTGAAACTAAACAACGTTATGAAACTGGTGGTAAAAATTGTGAACAAGCTCAAGCGTTACAAAGAAGATTATTCAAAACCTTGGCCGATGAAGTTGACTGTCAATAGGGGGATCTACTCCTTCACTCTGAAGTCCGATGGTTAAGTAGAGGACGGGTGCTGAAACGTTTTAATGATGTGCTATCTGGCATAGTTCAATTTTTCTAACAACGCGATGAACCGACTCCTGAACTAGAAAATTCAATCTGGCTTAGAGATTTTGGTTTTCTCGTGGACATTACAGATAAATTAAACGAACTTAATTTACAGCTTCAGGGGAGAGACAAAGAACTAGCGGAAATGATTTCTGATATAAAAGCATTTATTAAAAAGCTAAAGTTTTGGGAAGAAAACCTAATTAACAGCGATGCCAAGCATTTTCCTATTCTTTCAGAAAAAATATCTCAAAAGCCATTAAAACCCTATGACAGCAAATAGGTATCATGTAGAAATAGTTTCTACCCTGAAGAATTACTTCAAAAATCGTTTTAAGGATTTCAACGAAATGGCTTTAGTAGCGCAGTTTGTTGTTTCACCTTTTATGGAAATTGATATCCAACAGTTTGCAACTTGTGTTATGCAGAACTTTGGCGAAGACATCGCTGCAACAGAAATTGAAGTACCAAATGTATCTGGCCTATTGTAAGTAAAGACAAATATTCAGTTCTATGCCGTGTTGCCTTTAAAGTGAAAGCATTATTCAGTTCAACCTATTTGTGTGAATCTTCTTTTTCCAATAATTATACTGCAAACATTAAAAAAATTAACGATGAGTCTGAGTGTCAGCCTTCTCATTGAACGTGCTATTTCATTTTTCAATGTTTATGTTCATGATAGTGCGTTACTTTTTTGTTGTTATTATTAAATATTTTTAAATCTCACGTGACATGCCGTTGTGGCTGGATAAAAGTTTGTGTTTATTTTTCAAACACCTTCGTTTGGTAGGTAGGAATGTAGCTATGAACAAGTACGTACTAGTAATATTAGTTATTTTGTTATTAGTTTATTATTAGTACCTATGTATTATGTATTACCAGTTAAATAGTAAAATAAATACATATAATGATAAATTAACTGTGGGTTATTTCATTTACGTTGCGTTACGTGGCTTCCGTGTGGGTAACTTTTATTCCAAAATTAACAAAGTAGCTCAACACATTGAGAGGTTGGGGACCACTGCTCTATCGTATCGTACACCAAGCATGTCAAACTAAAAAAGTAACTTGAGCTGAATAAATAAAGTGTATGTTTATGTGGGCCGCAACCAG